ACATTCTGATATTTTCTGTGTTCTTACAAGTATGCCACATTTACACCCCAGACAGCAGTACGGAATGTAATTTGCACATTCACTGTACATTTGTATTTCTGTGAAAGAACAGCATTCAGTTACAGAATCAAAACACATTCAAGCTTTCCTCTTGCATTTCCTCACATACAAAACTAGAGTTCTGGAGAATTTCACACTTCAACAGCAAGACTGGATATCACACAAGGAACTCAGGAGATCCTTAAGAATTTTATTAACAATCTTTTCTCCTTCCATGTTTCCGATTACTGGAGCTGAAGAATCACTGCCGCAGCAGCTCCCTGAATAAGGAGTTTAAAATATAATTATGTGAGAACATTGTATATGTTGGTGCTATGAAATAGCCGTATGCAAGTCTCTATTCAACAAGTTCCTTGCACTTCCTAAGGAACCCTTCTTCTCTGCACTTAACCTCAGGAAGAAATTTAACAAAGATCAAGTCTTCTGGACGTAGGATTCCTTTCATGTTTTTATACTTGTAACACACCTTTAACATTCTTTTTCAGAGACAGCACCAGAGTATTTCTTCCACTGTGTTATGTGCCCTCTTTTCTATGAATTTGTGCTCGTCTCTCTACTTTTATTTCGCAGATTCATCTTGATCATCACCTTTTCATAATTTTACAAACATATAAATAATTTTGTCATTGAACTACATGCAATTCCCAGATGTTTAAGTAGCTTCTTTTCAATTTATGAAATAAAGTCAGTTTTTACTTCCAGGTTTGATCTTCAAGCATTTTCACATCTCTGACTTTTCACAACCATTCAATGGTCCTGTTGTATCTTACACATTTAATTAAACAAGCCTCCTTGCCATTGGCAAAAAAAAAAAAAAAAAAAAAAGGCCTTCTATGCTACACAGGTTACTAACAAGCTTAAATGAAGCCTGAACATTTTCAAAAAGGAAAATAATTTTAGCCTACTTATGGTTGCGATTACATTCTTGCTAACGTGAATGTAACGTAAAAATATAGTAATGTTTTCCTCAAGCTGTATAAATCCCTGCTCTCCTTCAGGCCAAGTATTAGCCAGCAACAACAGAGTTGGCAACAAAGCTCTAGAAGGGGAAGATGAATAGAAATCTTCTCCTTTGGTTTCTCGTTGATAATAGATCTGCACAGCATATTTGTTTTCTAGCCTAGGACAGAGTTAACTTGTATGTAAACTCTACTATCCATCACATACCATATGTAACAACTGATCTACTCTCTTCCTCCTTTCTTCTTTGTTCAGCAACCTACCTAGCACTGCAAAGAAACATAATTCCAGGAATATGAGCATAACCTGCTCAGTCCCTAACCAGTAGGATTAATCAAGACTGTGACTACAGAGCTGCTGACACAGATCAGACCAACAGAAATACAGACAGTTCTCAGCAAGGTATAAACTCTAAAATTACTGCTTGGTTTAGATCTCTCTACTCCAAAACTTCTGGGTGACAACCACCTCTGGGTATAAAACATATATATATATATATCTATATGAGAGATGTATGCCATGTTTTTCCTGTTATCTCTAAAAAATTTAGGCTACTATTTTGGCTATTCTGACAAGAAATGAATTCATGACTGCCCCTCAGCTTCCTAGACTTACATTTATAGATCACTTTCTAGCTTAGCTCAACATATGTTTAGTGTCTCTACATGATTCATTTACTCCATTATTCTAATAAAATTCTTCCATGGTAACATCCTACTAAACACTATCTCAAAGAAGCAACAATTAATTCAAACTCTCCAAGGTAGCATACAAGATGAAAAATTTCAACATATTTTTAACACCTTGGATCAGACTATGCTACACCAGTAATAGATCTGAGAATTCTATAATATTTTCATATGGAAAGTAAACCGCATTTTAAAATACTATCACTCTAGAACAAGCAAATAAAACCAACAAAACCAGAAAACCTTATAATTGTAATATTACAGGAGGCTTACTGTAGCAAGGATAAAAAAAAAAAAGAGCCAACAGTACATAAATAATGAAAACTGAAGTGTAAAGCACTACACAGAGCTGCACTGCAACAGTGAAGTACCAAGAAGGAAAGTGTTTCCAGGTGAAACAAACCCTGAGAGGTCAGCTTTATATCTTTTTACCATGCCAGCTTTAAAAACATCAAAGTTTGGAAGGTCTGCTGGCTTGGGTATTATATGCAGAGAAGTTATGCTTCCTGCCTTTCTTCAAAGCATGTTACGCTTCCAGAGCAAAAGGTGGGGGTAAGTTTCTATGTCCCCGCCTAACAGGCCAGTACTCTATATAGCTTTTATGTAGACTGCATCTTCCACTGATCCATTCTCTCTGCAACTGTATAAAGAAATTACACACTTTGATCCCTAAAACTGCATTAAAAAAAATAGAATATTACAGCTTTTTTCCAAGTTAGGTGTTAAAGTGATTAAAACGTTCAAGTAATTATGCTGTAAGTCCTGCAAGCTGATTGCATTTTACAATACAAGATTTATGAACCAACAAATCCTGACTACAGACTACCTTTCTCTTTACACAGATGGTCCTCTTTGCCTATTTTCCATTATCTCAGACAATTTTCATATCTATTATTTAGAACTTCTTTACCAATTTCCTGAAATTAACAGAAGTACAGCCATCCTTGAAAAAAGTGCAAGTTCATGCAAAACAAAACAAAACTAACCAACAGCCCCCCCCAAATCAAACCAACCAACAAAAAAATTATTAAAAAAAAAGAATTCACATCAGACATGATTCCAACTGTATAAATAAGAATCTATTCTCTT